AAAAAAAAAAAAAAAAAAAAAAAAAAAAAAAAAAAAAAAAAAAGAATCCCACATGTGTGAGTTTAAATTCAAGTTCTCCTACTTACCACCTGTGGGGCCTTGGACAAGTTACTTGCCCTTTCTCAGCCCTAGTCTCCCATCTGAAAACCCAAGGATAGCAGCATTGAGCTCTTTCAGTTGGCAGCGATAAGCAAAGGCACTCTGCATGCAGTGCGGCAGGTGGTCAGTGCTGAGCTTCTTTTCCTTTCCTTATCCTGTTTTTCAGTCCTCATTTTCCCACCTTGCTCCATCTCCCCGGGCTACTGTACCTTTCACATTCACATTTATGATGGCCTCTCTGTAAGTGATATCTGTGACGCTGATGATGGAGGCCGTGTGGATGACGACCGAGATGCCCTGGCAAGCTCTCTTCAGGCACTGCTCATCCAGAATGTCCCCTTCCAGCACTGTCAGCTTGGTCTTGTTCTGGAGCTCTGCGTGAACAGAAGGAAGGTCATTGGAAGGCTTTCTGGATCTGGCTGGGAAGTTTCCTGATAAAGGTGACATTTATCCAGGGCTTCAAGGATGGTTAGAATGGGGGAGCACATTCCAAGGAAGAAACAAGCAAACAAAAGCACAGAAATCAGAATGTACAGCATTTATTGGGAAAGAGCAAATGTCTGTTTCCATCCCATCTCATTCCAGAAGAGGAATTTGAGCAGTGAGCTATCAGGTGTACCTGGCACATAACAATTGTTAAAGAGAATTATGGGAAGTTCATAAAATTCATTAGGGAGAGAAGAGTGATTGTGGAGCATTGGATATAAGAGAAGGGGTTTGCTTCTGTAGGGAATGAGGACTCATGTGGATTTGGAATAAGAAGAAAAACAGAAGCAGAGTTGTGGTGTAGGAAGCTAACCTTGGCCTCCGGATATAAAATGGACTGGTATGGGGGATATGAGGGAAAGCAAGGCATTCGAGAGATTAATCAGAATGTCTGTGCCAAAGTTCAGATGAGGAGGACCAGAACCAGGGCTCCAGCAGTGGGAGTAGAGGACAGACACACAAGGTTTGAATTTCAGGCCTTCCCTTAACAGGTCCTGGTACTTGCTGGATCTGGGACGAGAGGAAGAGGAGGAGGGTCAAAGTCATCCCTAGTATTTCCTATTTGGGTGACTAGCAGGAGAGTGGAGCCATTAGCAAGGAATTTAGGATGGGCTCAAATGATGGAATTAATTGAAAAAACTCTTATCAGAGATCAGATATTATCAAAAGCAGATATCATGCTGAAAATGAGTCAACCACCAAGAGACTAACATTCCAGCCGTCTAGCCAAGGACAGCAGATACAGCAATCTATGTCTTCAGGGTTCTCTGAAATCCACAGCAAGTGACACTGCCAATAATGCTGTCACCTCAAATTAGCCCACGAAATAAACATAGTGCTACATACAGTTTAGATAAATACCTTGCACTCATCTGTGCTTTCTAATTGGACACAGCTTTCACAGTTTGCTTATTTCCTTTTACAGTTATCTCATGAAATAGGTATTTCAATTCCCACTTTTTCTTTTTTTTTTAAAAGATGACCGGTAAGGGGATCTTAACCCTTGGCTTGGTGTTGTCAGCACCACGCTCACCCAGTGAGCTAACCGGCCATCCCTATATGGGATCCGAGCCCGTGGCCTTGGTGTTATCAGCACCGCACTCTCCCGAGTGAGCCACAGGCCGGTCCCCAATTCCCACTCCATAAGTGAGGAAACTGAGGCTCAGAGAGGTTAAGGGATAGATCTAAAGTCACTGCTCCAGGGAAGGCTCAAACTTGTACCCCTGCCTCCAAGCCTGTTCCCTTTCCCTTACACCCCAAGTACAGGGCTGGCTGCTTGAAATCGACCTTTCTGAGACAGAGTAATTGAAATGAAATTGGCAATGAAGGCCAAAGAATAGTGAGAGAGAAATTCAGGGCTGGAGAAATTCCTTCATGGGGTATAAGCAGAACCATTTGCTCTCCTTAAGCCTCAGCCAAGTTTTGTCTACCTCCATTGTTAGACAACTCCAGGAAGGCCCCGAAGTGGGGGGAAGGCAGAGAAGAGGCTGCTAGAAAGGAGGTGGGTAACAGCTTGACAGTGGAATTTTCTCTGATTGTGTCCCCCGCCCCCACTTCTCTTTTGCTGCTGACCTCAGACAGACTGGCCCAAAGGTGTCTCTATGTCACAGCGGGAGAATTCCAAAGCCAGGAGAGAAAAGGAATCTTACCCCATTAGCGCACAGGGACCCAGGCAGACCACGAGAGGGCGCTTTGTATGTGTGGGTGATGAAGCCCTAGCTCTCTCCTTGTCCAAGGCACTGTGGATTTGGCAAGTGTTTTATGCAGACTGAATATACAGTTGCTTTTATGGTGTGAGCTGGGTCGGAGGAAAGCCCAGAGAGAAGCTACCAGACAAAGCACTAGTTAAGAGTGTAGACGCTGCCGCTAGGCTGCCTGGCTTCAAGTCCAGCTTTGCCATGTTCTAGCTGTGGGACCTTGGACAAGTGAATTAACCTCTCTGTTCCTGTCTCCTTATCTATAAAAATGAGGATAATAATATTACCTATCTCATAGGGTTGTTGTGAGGAGCAAATTAATGGACACATGTACAACATTTATCTCAGTGCCTGGCACAGAAAGAGCACTGTAAGGATTCTCTGTTATTATCTTTATGTGGGCCCTGCCCATCCATGACACCCCCTGAATTTTCACCATCGGGGAACTATTCCTCTCGGTTGAGCATTGCCTTTTCCTGGGATCAGATTGCAAATATTGCTGAGACAAACTGTTTTAAAACAGTTAACATTGGTCTTGTGTTAATATTTGATTAGCAAAGACACCAGAAAATCAGAGCGTGGAGGAAATCAGATATGGAAGAAGTCAAAGAAGGGCAATAGGATCATAGAATGATGGGTGGGGCCCTGGAGAGCTGTCGAGAAAGCCTCTGTGTGCAGGGCAGCGTCTTGGGCAGCCCAGTCTCCCTGAGCCGGGGCGGGGGATAGGGAATTGGTTTGGGGCACTCAGCAGGGCAATGGGAGAGGCTGAAGCCTTCCTTTACCAAGAGTCAGCCCTAGGGCCGAGTGATGGAGCTCTGCTGCCCATTAATCAGAAGGCCTTAGGCAAGTCACTTTACCTTTCTGGACTTTGATGTCCTCATTGTCTAGATGGGTGTGACCCTTTCCTACCTTCCTCACAGGGTTGTTTTAAGGATCTGGGCATGAAACAGGTTGAAAAACACACTATCCAGCTTTTGCATTTGCACCAGGGGCAGCGATTTGGGAAAAGAATAATGAGCAGCTACAGCAAATTCCTGTCATTTTCTTTGTGATGATGAGGAACAGAAGCAAATGGCAGAAAAAGAGATGTACAAGGGGTCCAGATGGGGCGTGTCAGTCTTACGCTACCTCTGGCTCCGCACCGTGCGCTTGTGCTTACTCTCTCTAGTGCTCTCTCTCTCTCTCTCTCTCTCACACACACACTCACACACACATGCTCAGCTTTACTTTTAATTCCTCTTATTTTGCCTTCACTGAAGCTGCTAAGTGAGCCACATGCAAACACAAACCAAAAACCCAGGGCAATTGAGAGAGGTAAGGACCCACTGGTGAGGTCTGCAGGTTAATGGTCTTTTGCAGATGATGCCCAGCAGTTGTCAAGTCAAAACACTTCAGAACATTAAAGAGTTGTAGACAAGAGAGAGAACCGAGGTGTGATTTTCTAGATGAGAAGGAAAGAGGCTTCACACAGAAGTGGCTGTCCCACGGCCATCCCCTCTAGTTCTGGCTCAGGCAAGCATGCAGTTTCTCCTGACACCCATCTGGTACCTTTTACACTATTCCATCTGTGATTTCCTTTCTGATGACTTATGGACATGGGGATTTAGCCTTGATTTGGCTACAGCTTTTCTTAATTTGGTAGACAAGGACCCCCTCCCCACACCCATGCAAGGTTTTAGATGAAGCCACATACGCATGACTCAAGTTCACTTACTAGAAAATTCCTCCCTCACTTTCGGTCTGAAGACCTTGTCCAGGACCCTGATTTCCTGCAGCTCTTTCTCCTCCACCAACAAGCGGACGATCCTCTGACCCAGAAATCCTCCTCCTCCTGTCACAAGGCAGCTCCATCCTGTCATGGTCAATTCAGGGTTCCAAGAAATACCAGGAACCAGAAAACACTGGGGAGCAGATCTGATTATAGGGTGACCCTGAAGAGGGCTAAAAAAGAGAGGTGAAATTGTTACAGGCTCACAAATATCCCCCTGGTTCCCACCACTCCATTTTTGCAAAAGTTCCATGTCCTCACCACCACCAGGAGTAGTTGAAAGAAAATGAAAAGCTCTAACCTGTTAGATTGTTAAAAGCCAGATGAAAGAGCCTGAGTGTTGCTCTCCTCAGCCCCAAGGGAGGACTGGGGCTTTATACGTGCTGTGGCTTCTGGCTCAGTATTATTACCTTGAACTCTTCCTGCCTACACATTGCTCACTCCTCTTCCAGGATCCCTCCTCCCAAAAGAGTGGTGACCTTTACGTGCTGTGGCTTCTGGCTCAGTATTATTACCTTGAACTCTTGCTGCCTACACATTGCTCACTCCTCTTCCAGGATCCCTCCTCCCAAAAGAGTGGTGACCTTTAAGTCACATCTTTCATTCTTCCCAGGCTCAGGAAGACAAGTCAGCTTCAAGGCCACAGAGTGATAAAGACTCTCAGAGTGATAAAGCCTCTCAGAGTGATAAAGCCTCAACAGGACACCTATGGACTTAAACTAGACTGAGAAATCTCCAAGTGCAATGTACATTTTGGCCTTTTGCAGTAAATTCATCTGGAGGAAAAATCCACTTAAGCCCACTATCTCCTTTCTCCGAGTATCATTTGAAATGCTGCCATCTTGCAAAGTTTAGAAATTCACAGTGATGGCAGCTCCAATGACTGAGCTTTATGTTTAATTTCCCCCTGGAGAGCCCGGGGTTCATGGAAAAGAGCCTCACTGAAGGGAAACCATGTACTGATAACCACCTGGTTCTGTGCCTACATCACAAGTGTGGAGGCTTCTGGTCGTGTGCCACAGTGGCTCTGACTGCAGACATTTGCACTCACCCCGCATTTGGGCTGCAAAACCACTCTCAGCAAGTTTCTGAACTGAAGACGCTGTGAATGCTTCTGAAGCCTGTGCCCCACAGGTACACAAATGCCACTGCTATAAGGTCCTCAAGACACTGTTTTTTTAAAAATTGAGGTGTAATTTACATGCATTAAAATACTCAGATCTTAGGTGCTTAGTTCAGTGATCCTTGACAGTTATGTAGACCCATGTCAGTATCTCCCTGAAGAGATCTGGACCATTTCCTTCACCCCAGAAAGTTCGTTCCTGCCTCTTCCCAGTCAACTCCCCTACCCCTGCCATCTACCTCAGAGGCAGCTACTTTCTGATTTTTATTCCCATAGATTTCCTATATTCTTTTAATTTTTTCCTAAGATCTCTGTGTTTCTAGATGTGTATTTAAATATACAATCAACCTGAAATTAAGTTTTGTTCATGGAGGACAGAAAAATTGACTTGATTTTCTCTATTCTTTGTCCATTTTTCTATTTCATTGGTTTATTAACTGCTTCCATTTATTTATTTTGGGCTTAGTTTATTTTTCTTTTTCAAGGTCCTTATAGTAAAAGCTTAGATAATTGATTTTGCCCCTTTATTCTTTTTGACTATAAGTATTTAAAATAAGCTGTAATTTTTGCTCTAAGCACTGTGTTAGCTGCATACAAAATTTTGATGTATTGGGTTTTTATCATCATTCATGTAAAGATATTTTCTTATTTTCCTTGTGATTTCTTCCTTGCCCAAGGGTTATTTGGAAGTATGTTGCTTATTTTCTAAAACCGGAGATTTTCTAGATACCTTATTGTTATTGATTTCTAATCTAATGCTATTTTGGCCAGAGCATATACTGTCTATGCTTTTTATTTTTGGATATTTATTGAGACTTGTTCTATGGCTCAGCGTATGGTCTATCTTGGTGAACATGCTGTGAACACTTGGAAATAATGTTTTCTGCAGTTGTTGGGAGTAATGCTCTACAAACAATTGGATTTGACACTACTCTTGATCTCTCCTTCCCCCTGCATTGTAGACATTGTCCTCTTTCCACTTGGGACCTGACTCCCAGTGCTCCAAACACACTTGCTTAGGAACGGTTGACTCTACCTACTGAGCTGTAGCAGCTTGTTCTCTGAACCTATTAACCAGCTAAAGGCCCCTGTGGAGTGCTATCTGAGGCCACACAGGTGCATCATACACCTTTGCCTGACTAGCTAAAGGCCCCTGTGGAGTGCTATCTGAGGCCACACAGGTGCATCATACACCTTTGCCTGCAGTAGCATACCTTACAGATCTCTCATCACCTGCAGGACTGGGACACTCATTGTCTCAGCTGGCGGAAGTGCTGGAGGCTGATAGATTTCAGCTAGTATCTGTAGGAATTGCCTCTAGCCAAAGAGCCAAGAGAGTAGGAGTTAGAAGTTTCTGGGTGGAACCAATAAATAGAAACCCTAAAGAAAGTGAAAAAGAAAACAAAGGGCAAGGCCAGTGGGGGCCACGGTATGACCTTTTTTTTTTATTTTTAAATAGCTTTACTGAGGTATAATTTATATGTCATAACATTCACCTGTTTAAAGTGTACAATTTACTTACCTTTAGTAAAGTTTTGGACTTATATAACCATCATTACGATCCTGTTTTGGGGCATTTCTATCACTCCCCAAAGATCCCCCATGCCCACTAGCTACCACTCCCCAGCTCTAGGCACCCCTCGCCGACTTCCTGACTACTGACTTGCCTCTTCTGGACATCACGTAAATGGAATCATACAATATGCGTGTTGTGTATCTGGCTTCTTTTGCTTGGTGTAATGTACTTCTGAGGTTCATCTATGTTGTAGCATGTATTAGTATTTTATTCTTTTTTAGGGCCAAACACTATTCAATTGTATGGACATGCCACATTTGTTTATTCATTCAGTGATTGATGGATATTTGGAGTATTTCAAATTTGGGGACTATTATGATTAAAACTGCTATGAATACGCACATACAAATTTTTGTGGGGACATATGTTTTAATTTCTCTTGGGCAGATAGCTGGGAGTGAAATTGCTGGGTCATATGGTGAATTTATCTTTAAGTTTTTAAGAAACTGCCCCATTATTTTCCAATGTGGCTACACCTCCCATCAGCGATGCACAAAGTGTCTCAGTTTTCTACATCTTTATTTCTTCACAGCCTCCAACTGTTATCTGTCTTTTTTATTATTGCCATTCTAGTCTCATTGTGGTTTTGATTTTGCATTTCCCTGATGACTAATGACATTGAACATCTTTTCATGTGCTTATTGGCCATTCCTACACCTTTTTGGTGAAATGTCTATTCAAATCTTTTCCCATTTCAAAATGGGCTATTTATCTTCTTATTGTTGAGTTGTCAGAATATTTTATATTCTGGATACAAGTCCTTTATCAGATATATGATTCAAAAGTATTTTTTTCCTAGCCTGTTGTTGTGTGTTGTTTTAAGTATGGGCTATTCCCTTTATTAATCTTTAGCACCTAGCACAGAGTAGATGTTCAAAAACTGTTAAATATTTGACTAAATAAAGTGCCTATATCTCATACATCTTTATATCACCATAAGAATTAGCACAATGTATGACACATATTAGGAGCTTAATAAATATTTGTTAAATGAACGAATAAAAGGATGGCAGACTGGGTGAACAATCAAGGACTCTAGAAGGTCTTAATGCTTCTGAAAACCTTACGGACTCAATCATATGATGATATAGAAGAGCACAGTGGCCCTGGAAATGGAGGTATTGGAAGATTACCCATACTAATGGTAGGCTGGGTCTGCTGCACAGGCCAATGCAGTTTGCCACGGAGAAGCAATTTTCTTTCACCTAAAAGATGGATATGAGTAGATTCCCAGGTATCTGAAGTGTGCTTGAAGAGCCAGTCGTCATATGTAAAGAAGAATTAACTGTGCCCTCAACCATACAGGGAGGGCCAGGGCTCCAGCTTTTTGCTTCCATGAGCACAACTTGGCTGTCTTTTCCTTGGGAGTGAGGATGAAGAAGACTAAAACTCTAGAGATACCATACAGGGAGGGCCAGGGCCCCAGCTTTTTGCTTCCTTGAGCACAACTTGGCTGTCTTTTCCTTGGGAGTGAGGATGAAGAAGACTAAAACTCTAGAGATCTCTTTCCCATCTCCCACCTGTTACTCTGCCTGGTGCCATTCTAGCACGTGCTCCAGAGGCTCATAATGATGGTATAGTAACCAGCCTCTAAGGTGGTTTCAATGATCTCTACCCTCTGGTATTTAAACCTTACGTAATCCCCTCCCCTTGAGTGTGGGCTGAACCTAGTAACTTGCTCCTAACCAACATAATACAGCACGAGTGATGGAATGTCACTTCCATGATTAGGTTAGAAATGATTATGACTTCCATCTTGCTAGCAGACTCCCTCTCTCTCATGGGCTTTGAAGAAGGGAGCTGCCATGGTGGAGAGGACAATACAGCAAGGAACTGAGGACAGCCTCTAGCCAACAGTCAGTGAGGAAATGAGGCTCTCAGTCCAAGGGCCTTCGAGGAGCTGAATCTTCCAACAACCATGTAAGCAGATTTTCCCCTCGTTCAGCCTTCAGATGAGATCTCACCCTTGGGTATTACCTTGATTGCTGCTTCATGAGAGACCCTAAAGCAGAGGACCAGAGAAGCCATGCCTGGGTTTCTGGCACTCAGAGACTATGAGATAACAAATATGTGTTGTTTTAAGTTGCTGAGTTTTGGCCAATTTGTTACACAGCTGTAGAAAATTAATAAAGGTGGGCTCTCAGGGAGTGGTGGAATATTGATCTGGTGACTGAGCACAAGTGGAGCCTAGCATCATGAAAAGGTCACTGTAAAGCCACAGTCATGTACCCTCTCTCTGGGACATTTCAAGTGAATCCAGAGGGGCACTGAGTCAGGAGAGATCTGAGTTCAAGTCTTCATTCTGTTACTAACTTGTGATATGGCCTTCAGCATGTCATTGAACCCCTTTAGGTCTCAGATCTTTCACCTAAAATATGAAGGATTTGAAGAAAGGAAAATATGAAGAAAGGTTTAGAGCTCTGGCAATTCCAGAGAATTCAGTAGAAAAATGAACTCAGAGTAAATTGTGAGAAGTCTCCATAGGGATTAACTTTTGGAATAATGTTGATAGTTAAACACTAATTTCAGCCATTGTTCTGCTTCATAACTTAGGATGTCAGTCAGAACCCATGAATATACTTGGCAAAAATATTGATCATAAGCTTTCTCAGAGCAGAATTCATGTCTTATTTATCTTTGTATCTCCCCAAACACTTGGCACATAGAGGTTTA